TAATAAATCCTTCACATCGTCCCTCAAGCTCTAATAAAATTGACTCATCAATGCTTTCTCGTCCCATTTGATATTGCACGATAATTTTTTAAAATCTGATACGTAGATTGACGCGGAGCATGCTCCTTGTCGTAGTGACTGAATCTTTGTTGTAGTCCATCGCGCCTTATCATGTTTGCCAAATGCTTCCACAAATGCCTCCAAAAAAATTTCAAAGTTGTTCAAAATTGATGATTCTTTCTCAAACAAATGAGCAAACCATAATAGAGCTTGCTCTGTGAGCAAAGTTTCAACCAATCCAACATGTGACTCCTCCGTCGAATAGCATTCGAGGTGTAAAGCTGTTATCAATCTAATTTGATTGACATAACCTTGAAACTTAGAATGCGTACCATCAAACTTGTCTAGAAGGCTAATTCGGAGCTCCTTTCGTTGTAAGACCAACAGTCCTTGTTGAACTAGAGGCAAAGTTGTTTCTTTTGGTGCCAAAGCTTGAGGTTGGTGAATCCTCAATTAAGCCATCCCGGATGCTATATCATTATGAAGTCTTGCAATGATTCCTTCTATCTTTGCATTTCTCTGTGATAATATAATAAGAGTGTCCAACTTGGACTCCGCACTTTCAGTCATACTGTCACGGACACAAAATACAGACTTGAAATCTAACAAGAAGTTCAAGAAGAAGTGGCAAAACTAGATTAAACAGATGAGTACAAGAACAACACCAGAAAGGTGAGCTAGAACTCCAAGAGATGTGTTGTCGAGACTGAAGAACCCTTCAGCCTCGACTCCTATATATACTACTGAATAGGAAGCTTCTCGAGCTACTTCCGCTAACTAGGACGCTTCTCCAACAACTTCTACTAATTAGGAAACTTCTCGAGCAACTTCCTAGAATCTATCAGAATATTCTAGAACCTTCTAAAAATATTCTAGAACCTTCTAAGAGAATCTTTAGGGAATATTCTAAGAATCTTCTAGAACCTTTTAAAGGAATCTTTAGAGAATCTTTAGAGAATATTCTAGAAGAATATTCGAAGAATCTTCCAATGTATGTCCATGACACATACTAATATTTTGACCTCCGGCCATTCTAAGAGAAGGAAAGAAATGACTCTACAAGAAGGTAGTATTGATTTAGAAGAAGGTACTCTGCAACCTCTAAAATCCCTTAAAACCTTCAAGAAGAGAGATAATCCTCTATCTCCAAGAAAGATAAGACTCCAATATTATAATAGAAGAAATATCAGTTTAGAGAAGAGTAATCCGCAACCTCTAAAATACTAGCACCTTCAAGCTGAGGGATAATCCAGACTCTAACAAGAAAGAACTAGCTTTGATATGAAAGATGAGTGTAGTCTCGACAAACTTTCACAAATTTAGAATATTGACTGGAAATCAAAAGAAGAAACTCAAGAAGAATCAGCAAGAATTGGATTAATCATGTGAGTACAAGAACAATACTAGAGAGGTGAGCTAGAACTCCAAGAGATGTATTGTCAAGACTGAAGATCCCCTCAGTCTCGGCTCCTATATATAATACAAGCTAGGAAGCTACTCAAGTAGCTTCTACAAACTAGGAAGCTTCTCAAGCAGCTTCTACAAGCTAAGAAGTTTTTCAAGCAGCTTCCATGAGCTTGAAAACTTCTCAAGTAGCTTCTACAAACTACAAAGCTTCTCTAGAACCTTCTAGAATCTTCTACAACTTCCTAGTGTATGTCCTTGACATGTACTTCATTGTATCCAATATCCATTTTGAAATTGTTTCAATAGATTTTATCTTGTTATTCATTTTAAAGTTATTGACTCATAACTGTAGCATAATCATAGTATAGTTTACTTAAATCTCTATAAGTTCATTTCTATATTGATAATTAAAAAATAAAAAATATATTTATAATTTAAAATAAATATATTTATTACAATGATATATTTTTATTGGAAAACAAAAAACAAAACATTTTTAAGAAAAGGAATTTAAAAAAGCACTACAACATCATAAGTTTGTTATTACAATAGGTGTTGAACAAAAAAATAAAAAAACAATAAGTTTTTAAAAATAGATTGGTATTTTTTAAAATTATAATTTCAAATAAAAGAAGAAAGTATTAAATCAACCTACATTAATTTTCAATCCAATCACCATGTGTCTTTTGAGGCAATTATATCTTTTAATATACCATACAACATATATTCAACACTGTATATGTATGTATGTCTAGCAAGAGGATATCCAAAGATGTTTGCTTGAATTGACTAACATGTCACTTAGGCTGAAAAATCATCCATTGTAAAAGTACTAGGGCCTGCCAAGAAGTGACAATAGCCTAGCCAACATGTTGCTTGATTTGAAGCATTGACATGCTGAGAACCTTAATGAGGCATGTATATACATAATTTACATACATGTCCCCAGCATCTTATAAATATTACAGTAGATTTTGAAAGATAGAAGTGTACCATACATCACATGGTAGGTTGATTTAAGATTTAGATAGATCAATTTAATATTGTACTAATAATAAATCAAACTGCATACATATTTACAAATTTATCATAAACATGAGAAATTTTATGAATTTTTTTTATATAATTTTGTATCAACATTTCCATATAAAATTTTATATTTTTGGTTTAATATTTAATTAATGTATTTATTGACTATTTATAATTTGATACAACATTATATAAAATGATAAAAAAATTATAAAATACTTTTTAAATGTATAATTTATAGTATTTTGTATTTTCTTTGGTGGAATGTTTATAACCTCAAAAATACATACATAATCTATTTGAAATACTTAAAAAAATTTAAATCTTCTTAAAAGAAAAGAAAAAACAAAAACGTAGTTTTAACAATTTTAACACTAAGACTTCCAATTGTATTAATTACTTGAGCTTCTCTTATTTTATTGAAATAAAAAATTTCAATAATTTATTATCGTTGATAGTATATATATATATATATATATATATATATATATATATATTACAACAAACTATAGTTGACTAATTTTTAAGTGGACAAATTACAATGTAAAGTGTTACTTGCTTTATTATATGATAAAACAACTTAAAGAAAGGGTGCACAACATCTATTAATGCTTAGTAAATCAAATCTCCTATTAATCATTTACATAGTCAAATAATGTTTTTATAAAATAACCAACTTATGTCATTGATATATATATATATATATATATATATATATTCCATTTTTTAAAATTAAATTTTAAAATTCACTTTTGACACAAATTTTCATCTATTTTTTTCCAATTTTCAAAGTCAATAATATTTTACTTTGTCAATATAAACATATATATATATATATATATATATATATATTGTAATACATGCTATATTGAGCTGAATTTGGTTCTAAATATATTCTAATTATGATGCATTTGATTAAATTATATTTATCTTTGTTTTGTTTAATTTTTATCTAATTGTTTTTAGCTTTCTTTTGTATTATTATTATTATTTATTTATTTATTGTTGGTTCAAAGAATCACAACTACATTGTCTAAAAAGAAATCTATATTTAAAATTCACCAATTTTCTAATTTAACATTGTAATAATCATTTAATATTCAAAGAGAAGAAAAAATTTAATATTTGTGAGAGTATATTTTTAACTTGAGAATATTATCTGATAATTTTTATTATTTTAGTAGTGGACCAAAAATTATTGTTTTTCATGAATAGTAAAAGATCCTGATGTTAAATTGACATGAAGTATGTCAACAAAGATGTGACTACAAAAAAATATCATAAATAATTAAAGAAAAAAAATTATATTTCTATTAATTATTTAGTTATTAAATTTAAGGAACATATAAAAATAGTTATTTTTTTATTAAGTTTTAATAAATGAAATAATTTAAATACTTACAATTTGATAGGTTATTTTGTAAACTTAGAGTTTGAACACCACTTTACTATTATTCTATTGTATTATACTTTAACATTTATAATATGTAAAAATCTTTAGAGTTCTAATTCTTAATGAATCAATCATCTTTATCAGTAACTATGATTAAATGTCCTTCAATAAATCTACAATAAATATATATATATATATATATATATATAGTATCCATGTATTAAACATGGTTAAAAAATATTGATTTAAAATCCATCTAGTCACCATGATTTCTTAATTCCTTCAAATTTAATCAATTTATCCTTTTTTAAAAGAGAAATAATTTAGAATTAGTTTTTCAATTGCCTTTTATTGATGCTCCAATTAAAATAGAAAAGAATTGGACCGAAATATTTATCCCATCTAATTACCTTAATGTATTCTAATACAAATGATACTCAAACTTTTAAATACATTACAATAATGTAGTACCACATTTGCCTTCAACTTAAGAAAAGGATCCATTTTACATGGACTCCGACCAGAACAACATCAGATATTCTTATGTTATTGTTTTGTTGAAGAAAATTGAAGACCAGTTTAAAACATAATGACAAAACTAGTAGAAGATTTCAAGATTTTAGTAGTACACGTTATGTTCTGTGGGCAAGTGCAAATATAAAGCCTGATTCAGTAGCAAGAATACCCTTAAAATCAAATTGAGTGTCTGAATTTGAATTTTTGGTTTACATCAATTTTGAGAAATCGTGTGGAAGTAATAAGTTTCTACACGAATTCATTTACATGTACAGTAATCAATTGGTCAATTAATAATAGTCGTATCAGATTTTTGTGATGAGTAATCACCAAGATTTGGTAATATTCTACGGCGTTGTAGAAGTAAGATTTCCATCAAGTAGAAAGCCTGTCTGGAGAGTACCATCCAGCTACAATATTTAAAGTTCCTTGTTAAAGGAAGTTCCACATGAAACTCCACGTCCAATATTTTCTAGGTATGTAAGTAGTTCGTGTTTGAACAAGATATTTCTAATACATTACTGATCCTTAAAATTGAAGTTAGAAAATAACCTGGACTGTGAAGATTGATAGGAATCTAGAGGATGACTGAAACTTGTTCAAGCCCGCAAGCATGCACAGGTGCAATTGAAAATCTGACATTACAGGCAGCCTAAAATTACTGAACCTCTCCAGCTGCTCCAAAGAAGGGCCAACACAGTTATCTGAAAGGAAATGGGCTACGATTCCAATTGTGGTTGTATATAGCATAAGCCATGGCTTCTTCACGTAATCTTAGTGAACTCGTAGGTCAAAACTGTATCTCCGAACTGTGCGGAAGTACATCAACGCACTCTATTGCTCTGACTTCCGCACTACATTTCCAGAAAATCGTGGCCATCTTCATGCCACCAAATCAATTTACTCCACAACTACATCAACCTAGTTAAAAAGAGGAAAAAGCAGAAGTGTCACGATGCCACCATGTACAGAATCAATACTTGGGAATGAGTCAATATCTACCGCACCACCACGCCACCAAATCAATGTCTACCCATTACTGCTGATCATCCATCACTAACCAGAATATAAATAGTGGAAATATCAGCAGCTCGGGTGACAAGCATCCTTCTCAGCATACTTAGCGTCCTGCTAGTAATGTATGTTTAATACTGGAGCTACCAGCTTCAGCGGCGGTAGCGTACAGGTGGTAAGGTGGCCTAATGATAGAAGAAAAAAACAGGAAAAAAAGAAAAAGAAAAACAAGACTAGCAGCATACCACTAGTCTTCATCGTCTCCATCTGACAATCCGTTTCCATTTCCGTTCAACTTGATATCAGGCTTATCTTCCTCCATGTCATCATCATCTTCCATATCGTCATCCTCGTCCTCATCTTCACTCTCAGACTCCCCATCATCCTCATCCTCCATTTCGTATTGCGATCCACCATCAACCATCACGTTAATAGCCTCTGGTCCATCATCATCCTCCTCTTCATAAACAACAGCAGCTTCGTTTTGTTTATCTTCTTTGCTTTGAGATTCATTTTTCTGGATTTGTGCCATGACAAGGTCTAGTCGACCTGAAAGAGACAAAAGCGGCCGGAAAACCGACAGTCTAGCCTCAATTATTTGATACAATGAAGTGAGTACAGGTTGCAAGGCAAGGTTGGTCATTACGAAACTCGCATGTTGCAGTAATACAGCCCGAACCCAGGGTACCAGGCCTAAGGCCCTCTGAGGCCTTCCTTCCATTTTCGACACAGCAACTGTGAGGAACTTCGCAGCCTCAAAGGGACGTAATCTTCGTATGGTGTTTGATATAACTTTTTCGTCATGTATGTTGAGACATTGTTCTAGGAGAGAATTGTCATCTGCCTGCAACGCTTGTGAAAGGAGAACTTGTAGGGAGTCTGCTCGAGGTACCACTGTTCTATCAAGGTCGTGGGTATCGCCTTTGAGATCTTTAAGATCCACTTCTTCAATTACCTTGAGTGCAATCATTCTCTCCTCTAACGTTGGTTCTTCGTCAGCTGGTACAGTTAGAGCAACGTCGTCCAAATCGGTTTTCATGTCCGTCTTCTCTTCAGGTGATTTCAAGTTAGGCTGTGCTTCCTCGTCCTCAGCTTCGGCACGACGTTTTTTGGCCTTTTTCTTTGCAGACGCTATGTCAATCTGTGGTCGAGGTATTGCCGCCTCACCTGCATTATCAAGACCTAGTACAGTAACTTGCACAGACACTGATTTCGACTGCTCGACGACATCAGCTGCTGGCAGCAAGGCACCTTCTACAGTTGCACTAAGAACGATGTTAGAGCCCTCCTGGCCGCATAATGGAACTTTCTCGAAGTGAGGTTTGACTGAGGTGCCGTGAACAACTAAAACAGTTGCATCGCTCTGCAAAAACCTACATAAAATGAATTGCACACAAGTGTGAGTCCCAGAGTAGATGCCCACAAATGTTGAGCATTTAAAAAATCTGAAGGTTAAACGGAACGCCAGCACCCACGAGTGTCAGGGCAATCACCTTGCAGCTAGAATACGGGGTTTGGCACCTGCTCTGCCTTTCCCAGATTGTCCTACACTAATGATTGTGGGTTTAGTAGTCTCAAGCTCATTTACAGTTGGAGCAGACCAGATATATGCACACCCACCCTCACTAACAGCTATTACCCTCAGAACGTCACCATCCTCGTCGAACCCAGAGATATCGATTGTAGCTACTGGATGCTCTACAGACAGTGAGATAGGCGCAGATGTCTCTGATTTTCCACCTTCCACATGCCACAATACAACATGACGTTCCCCCGTTGCAGCGGACAATAAATACTTTCCATCTGGAGTAAAACATAAAGTTTTCACAGGAGTCTGCAGACGAGCAAGTGGTCTGTCAATAAGCCACCATGATTATGTGCTCATAATTTTTCAATAACATGAAAGCAAACGGGACTCATGTAAACGATGCGTACAAAATGCCATTTTGATATTAGCGATGGATTCAACCTAAAACCACGTAAAACGCTCGTACGGTGGAAATTGGTAATGAATTCCAGAAGAAGAAAAAAATGGAGGAAGATGGCTTCAAAAAAGTAAAAATAAAGTAGACGTACAGGATGCCCGGGAAATTTTCGAAGTCGCTTCTTGCTAGAAAGATCGAATAATTTCACCTCCGCACTTGCAACCGCCACGGTACCACCATCTACACATACAGTAGACAGTCATGATCAATCTTCTAGTTCAGCAGTGAGGAACATTCTTCATACATATGACTAACTGTCAAGGGTCAAGACGTACACAAATTAAAAAGAGAGATTCGAACTAGCTAACATACAAATAGAATCACAAGAAAGAACGTGCATAGTATCACAGTATATTATTATTTTAGTTAGTGACACTGAATGGTTTATTCACAAACGAGAGAAATTTATGTACCAGGTAAATATTTCGATCGAAGAGACAGTTTTCTGCAAAAAGAAAGCGAGAGGGATCACAGACCTTCGGCAACAGCTACACAAGACAGAGGTGTTTTCGCTGCCCGGAACTTGGTAAGCACCTGGCCAGAGGAGCTATCCAATTCACACACGTGCGCATCGTGGCCTACACTGTACAGCCTTTTTCCGCTCTTGCTAAATGCTACAGATGTCACACTCCTGCCAATAAAGAACTTAGGGGTTATTAACAGAAACCAGCAACAGCTGAGAAGCCGTCTCGTCCACTATCATTGACAGAACCCAGACCTCTACTCGACACCTAACAGGAAAATGACATTACATCAAGCAACCTTGACTCGTCAGAATATTTTACCGAACTTAACTGAACTCACTTGAGATTGAGACAACTCTTCACGTCATTGACAAAGAGGTGAAACATTTGGATCAACAATTCACGCCTATGAAAGCAGCATTTGTTGATTTAATAAATAGAACCCTTGCAAAGCATTCATCAACAAAGAGAATTGGAATTCAGGATTCAGAGAGCTGGATACGGCGACAGACCCCGCATGACAATCACTAGCTCGCCACTTAAGCTCTCCGAGAGTAGTGTCCCACGAAATAATATCACCGCTACCAGTGCCAACAACAACAACCGCCGCGCCCCCCTTCTCTTTCGCACCTTTCTTCTTCTGAGAGAGAAAAATAAAAAAATGAAAAAATAGTGTGAAGGTACGGGAAGCCACCTAAAACAAAAACGATGGAATTAATCATGAAATGGCGGGCTAGGGGGTTAGAACGGGCACCTTTTTGGTAGAGGAGTTGGAAGGCAGAGCACCCCAAGCCATGCAGGTGTAGTCCAGCGCAAGATGGCCAGAGGCGACGGTGGAAGCAGGCAGTGAAGGAAGGTCCGCCAACTCGTTACGCAAGTTTCCAGTAATAGAATCCCAAATCTGCAATTATTCACAGAAAAAATGAGGAAGGAGAAAACGGAAGGAGAGAAGAGGAGGGAGAAGAGAGAGAGGGGGAGTCAATGCGAAAATCAACAACTCACCTTGATACGGCCATCACCAGCGGAGAGAGCAAGAGCAGAGCCGTGAGGGTGGAAGGCGGAGAAGAGTGAAGGAGACATGGTGCCGAGCCGTGCCGTGCCAAACTATCGAGGCAATGCAACCCCACCCCCCCAAAAAAAAAAAACCCAATGAGACTCAAAAAAGGAGAGCTTAAACAACCGGCGATGGCGCTGTTGCTGGAGGGGCAGCAGCAGCAGCAAGTGAGACCGCCAAAACCCTAAACCCTTGCAGGAGTGTATGAACCCTTACCTTCGCTTCCAGCACATATGTCCCCGTTCACACGGTCGCCCCCCTTCCCTTACCTCCCTCCCTGCCTCTCCTCCTAGTCCCCACCACCGTATCCTATACCCCTCCTCCCCTCCTTCCCTCTTCCTTCTTCTCCTTATTACTCTTCCTACAAACACTCCCCCATAATTCTGCCGAATTGGTATCGTCACGAGGATGAAGCCTACTGCATCATTTCCAACTATTTTTCATGTATAATTTTATTTCACTACTTGTCTTCTACTTCCTTGTCTGATGTCCCTTTGACTACAACTTTAAATGTAAAAGGTCAAATCTGAAATTTGATCATTTTATCTTTAAACTCTTTCCATGAACAATTAGTCATTTCTAAAAAAGACATTCAGTTGGTTATGAGATTGTAATGGGATTTTTTTAAAATATATTTTTTTAATTTTAAATTTAATCATATGCACATGTATGGTTGTATTATATATATATATATATATATATAATCTTACTAATGTCACCACAATTTTTGTTGATGTCATCATAAGCCATCAAAAATTTGTGTTGCTCGCAGCAATGCATTCAATAGAATACTAAAATGCAAATCTAAAAAGTATGAGCACTTCATCTAATATGGTGTGTATTAGCCATGTTCTATAAATTGCATTATGCTATGGTCTACAAATTTAGGGCAACTTGTGTTGACAAAAGAAAAAGTTGTGATGGCATTAGCAATATCTTATTTACATATTAAGGAAGCTTAAGTATAAGATAATAAGAAAAAAGCCTTTTAATTGGCCAAAATCAAAGAAATTCTTAATGAGCAAAAAGTCCTACATAACTTGCAAAAAAATCTTAAGTTTACTATTTATAATCAACTTTTTTGTGTCCAACAATACAAATTTTTGTTAAAATATATCAATAATATTTAAAATTTAATAAAAATATAATATTTATATTTTATAAAATTTTAATACAACTTTATGAATATATGAATTTTATAAAACATGATGATTTGAATTTTTTTTTAGAATAAAAGTTACAAATTGATACTGTATTATTTCTATATATGCATATATTATTATAGACATTAATATTTGCATTAGTAATTAAAAAGATAAGAGGAGTTAGGTAGAAATAAAAATAAATAAATTTGATAAAATCTTGTTAAAAAGTTTCTTAGAAGTTTTATAGATGCAAATTTAATTTTATGAGTATTTGTAGGTGATTGGCATATTAAAAATTTAGCCAAAAAATTGGCCACTTGTTGAACATGTTGACTATTTTTTTTACAAGTTGGATCCAAGTCACACATGTTGATTACTTGTGCTATAAATTGGCCATACATTGCACATGTAGAAAACTTATCTTCTATGTTAGAGACACGTCTTGTAAATTGAACACTCATTGAATGACCTATAGAACATTGTCACATAATTGTTTACTTGGATAATATATATAGAGACAAAAGTGATTCCTTTCTTATTTTTATCAATGGCTTTTTTGTATTGCTATATTAGTTTAAGAATCTCTATATTATGTATTTAATAATAGACATTATTGTTTTTATATTTTATCTATTAATGATGTTTTTGCTTTCTCTTTTTAAGTTTTAATAGAATGCATTATTTTTCTAGAATTTTATTATGATTTATATTCTCAATACTTTAATAAAAATACCAATTTTAGATTTTTTTGATTTTAGCAATAAATGGATCTCGTATTTTTTATTTGTATATTTTAAAGGTTGCAAATTACATACCTTCATACTAACATTTTTATTTTATTTTTCTACTATTGATTTTTTTTTTTAGAGTGAGTGAACTAATCTACTTTGTGGGATTTTTTTATTTTATATTAGAGATTACAAATTATTCTTATCTAATTTGATTTATAGATTTTTTGAAGTTGTCTATTAGAAATATGGAAGAAAAATAAATTGATGCTAATGTATTTAGAGCATAGTCTTGCTTTGAACACCCTGAACAAATTATAGATACTTGATAAAAATGAGAATATATTTGCAATGATTACAAATCTTTATCAACTTATCAATACTCATATGTAATATCAATATCAACTATAAAAATACTATTCTTATATTTATAGAAGTAGTCAATAATGAGATCTAATGTCTATGCTAATAAATTGTAAAATTGAAAGAAATAAACATATTAAATTTACAAGTATATTTTAAAAGTCTTGGTACTAAAAGTATGAAAAATATAAAGATTAGTATGCCATAAAAGTTAATGGAACAAGATCAAAGTTTTTAAGGATTTCTACAATAAATTAAGTTCTATTTAAGTTTCCATCCTTTTCAATATTTTACTAGACTTACTTAAGTAGGATTTATATATAAGTCTTCTTTGAAAGTAATCCCTTATGATTTGTATCTTTGACAAAAAAAAGATTCATAACACCTATTTAATTTGAATTTATTCATAAAATTATTTACAACTACATTTATAGGGAGTGATTAAGAAAAAATTATAAGATTTCTTTCTTTCTTTTTTTCTTTCTTTCTTTCTTTCTTTCTTTCTTTCTTTCTTTAAAACAAGATTTACGTTTAACTATCATTTATATTTTTGAATTCAAAAGCCTTGATTGTGATATAGATTGGAATATTAAAGTCTCTTTCAATTAGTTTTAATATGAATTAAAAGATGATATCTAAAATTTATTATTAATAATATTAAAAAAAAATTATTGAAATAATTTATTGCTTAAGTTATTATATATATTAATTGATTCTTTGAAGGACATTAAGAACAAAGATTTGATCATAAAGAAGCGTATCAAGTCATAACAACAATTCTTAAGTTTCAAAAATATATTTATTAAAACTAAAACCTTTGCAAATTGATGTGACGAGTTTTAAATCTCTCTCTCTCAAAAAAAAAAAGACTTGAAATTAATAAGCATGATTGTACTTATAATATAGAGAAGCTTAGCACAATATTCAACATTGTCCAAAAAATCAATGCAACTACAAAATAAAGTGCCACAAAAATACATATTTAGCTCAATAATTACATATATAATTAGGTAGAAGTAAATAAAAATAAATTAATTAGATAATATCTTGTCGACAAGCTTCCTAGAAGCTTTATAGATGCAACTTGGACTTTACACATGCTTGCAGTTAATTAGTAGATTAAAAACTTGGTCAACAAATTAGCCATGTGTCAAATGTATTGATAGCTTGTAGAACAAGGTAATTATGTAGTGCACATATACAAAACTTTGTCTTGCAAGCTAAGACATGTGTCTTATAATTTTGACACATGTTAAAGGTCTTATAGAACATTATTACGTAGTTCCTAATTAGATGGTATATTTGGAGGCAAGAGTGAAGCTTTGTTTATTCTATCAAGATCTTTCTAGTCCTCAGTCTTTTTTCAACACTTTTTAATCTTCTTGTCTTTGGCAATAACCATTCTAATTCAATATATTATCATCTTTGAGTGACTTTCTAATCTTTTTGAGTGACAAAAGAGTGTATTGGATTTTTCTTTCTTTGAGATTCATGTCCTTAATATCAATGAAGACAATGTATCAATAAATGAATTTAGCTACCTACAATCGGAACAATACAACTTATATTTTATGCAACACTTAGTAAAGGTCTCATTATCTCTTTAAAATCCTCACCTATTTTTATTATAGATTTTTGTTTAAGATCTAAAAATCACAAAAACTTTTTAGCTAGATTTAACAATCTTAGCTTACTTCTTAAATGAAGAATTTATTAAAAGACATAATATAATCTTAGTAAAAAAAAAAAAAAAAAAAAAAAAATGTGCATATAAAAGTCATAAATGATCATCTTTTATTTTTTAAATATTATAAATATAAAACTATCTATATAGAAATAAAAAAAGTGGTCATGTTAATTTATTGATATTTAATATTATTAGAATTTTTACTAATTCAATCATTTGATGCTTATTGTGGCTAAAAAAATTTAAACCTTATATAAATTAAATTTTTTATAAAATTTAAACCTTATATAAATTAAATTTTTTATAAAATTTAATTTTTCTATGATATAACTAAATTAATTGCTAATCAAATTAATAATTATGAATCTAATTTAATTAAATCCTTATTTGTACATATAAAAATTTTCATGTATGCTATAAAAAAAAGACTTATTTTGTTACTTATGCTACACTTATTTTTAATGATAGAAAGACTTTAAGCAGCATATCAAGCCAATACACAAATAATTAAGATATTTTTGAAAAGAAAATACAAATATTCTTCTAAAACATTGTCTTTAAAATTACTAGATTTATGTTTAAGAAAGAGATTAATTACCATTTAGACCAATCTACAACTTATCATAAAATGATTTAGCTTCAATTAAGGATTCTATTAATAAAAAATTAGCCAAAAACTTTATATGCCATTTAAAATTTCTAGTATAAGCCTCTTTTTTATTTATAAAGAAAAAAGACAAACATTATGGATTTGTATCAATTATTAAATAACCAAAAAAATTACTATAAAAATAAATAATATTTATAATTAATATTATAACTTTTTACCTAATAAAATCAAGCCTAGATTTATATTTAAATAAATCTATAAGGAGCATACAACCTAATTTGCATAAAAACATGAAATAAATAGAAGACTACGTTTTGAATAAGATATAGACATTTTAAATATAATGTTATGCATTTTGAACTCTTACATGCACCATCTAATTTTCAACATCTAAAAAATGATATATTGTAAGATTTTTTAAATGATTTCATCTTTTGTTATCTAGATAACATTTGAATCTACTCTAAAAACACAAAAAAAAAAATATCAATTTTGTTTTTTTTAAAATTTAAAAATTTAGAGATTCAAGATTATTTTCCAAGATAAAAAAAAGTGTATATTTTGTATAATCCAAGTTGTTTTTGTAGGATATGTTATTTCAAATGATATCCTTGTCATGAATCTTTGGAAAGTTCAAATTATTTTGGATTAGAAGATTTTAAAAACATTGACATACATCCAATGTTTTTTGAAATTCGCCAATTACTATCAAATCTTATCATTTTTTTTTTTTTTTTTTTTTTTTTTTTTTAAATCACAACTTCACTTATACATTTGACTTGTAAATACAAACTTATGTAGAATAAAAAAATTGAAGCAACATTTGAATCTATGAAGACAATTCTCATAGGAGCATCAATTTTGTATAATATTAATTATTCTAATGTATTTATATATAAAAATATGTTTTAATCTTTATTTTTTATGCAATATTATCACAATTGAACGTATATGACAAACTTCACTTTATAGCTTTTACTTCAAGAAAATTTTAAACAACTAAAATTAATTATAAAATCTATTATTAAAAACTTCTTGCAATTGTAGATTCATTTTAAGAATGGCACTATTATTGGTAAAATATTTAGTTTAATAATTATTTATGTATTTAATAAGATTTTTATATTGGCATATGTTTTTAAATTGTCATCCAATTGATTGAATTATGTCCTTATTAAGATTTATTTTTAATACCATCTAATAGACAATAAAACAATATACTTTATTAGATGTCATTTTAAAATATTCTTATCTTGCACCAAAAGAAGAAAAAAATTATAGTTTTTTATTAATAATAAATTATTCTTTTAAAGTGAAATTAACTTATTTATAATAAATTATTCTTTTAAAGTGACATTAAATTATTTATAATAAATTATTCTTTTAAAGTGACATAAAACTTAAATCCATAAAATTAATATTAATTATGGATTCAATATTTTTTAATCGAATTCAATAAAGTATGTTTTCAAATCTTCTTGTATACGATATAAAGAATACTTCTTCTAAATCTCACAATACTTCAAAGTTTGATTTTAAGTTCAATATTTTCTATTTTAAAGGACATTTATATATTCTTAAAGATGAAGTGTAATTATAAGTTTTTAAAGCTTTTTATGCTTTTTCAATTATAAGACATTTTTTATATAATAAGACCTTAAAGTTCATCTCAAGAAATTTTTGATAGCATCAAATGTAGAACATATTTAAAGACTTTGCTTAATCTAGTGATATTTGTTTAAAATCAAAAACTTCTCGCCATCAACCTTATTGACTTCTCCAACCATTACTTATATCAAAACAATTATAGTTATTTATTTCTATCCAATTTATCACATATCTTCTAATCCTAAGCTTTTATGACTCTTTATTTGTAAAAGTAGATTTTTTTACTGAGATGGCATATTTATTCTATATACAAAAACTATCACAAGAAAATTTTTATAATATTTACCTAGATTCTTTCTTCATAATATTTATTACTATCATGGATTGTAATAGGATATTATAACACATTAAAGGAATTAATTTGTATCTTGATTTTGCATAGTTATTTTTAAGATATTGAAGGTAGGCATAAAATTATCTATGGTCTTTCATCCTTAGAATAATAGACAAATCAAACAAATAAATCAAACATTTGAGTAGTATTTGAGATGTTCCATTAACTACCATCAAAATAATTGGACAATTCTTTTGCCATTGATATAGTTTACCTATATTAATACAATACATTTTGTTATTCAATAATTATCTTTTTATACTATTTATGATTATCATCGATAATTTAATACTTTTCACTTCTTAAATGTTAATAATTATAGAGTAGAAGATTTAGCAAATTATTTATTGGAGTTATATGCAACAATTTAGGCATAATTTGATGAAACTCGAGAACAAAAAAAATCAATTCACGTGTCTATCACAAGGAACAATCTCAATTCCATGTTGGCAATAAGATATGGATTCTTTGTTGTAATATCAAGACTATATTCTTTTGTGATATATTGGATTATTGTAGACTTGAATCATTTCTTATTAGCAGACAAATTAATCTGGTTGCATATTGATTATATCTATTGTAGTTTATGAAATTTCATGGTGTATTTAATGTCTCTCATTTTAAGCCATGCAAGACAATGGATATATCAAAAAGAAGACAAATACCAACTGTTTTTCATAAAAGTGAACAATAATAAAAAAAATATAAAGTAAAAGAAGTTTTAGACTTAAATTGGCCCTAAAATAGGTTAAAGTATCTTATATATTGGTGTAGATATGACATTAGTGAAACATATATGGAAGTTATTTAAAAAACTTATAAATATAGTAAAACATATTTATGCTTTTTATTGACAATATATATATCAAAACTAAGCTGAATAGTTAAAAAATTCTTTGTTAATTTAAAAAAAAAAAAAAACACATTTAATAAAGATTATTTTCTATCTTCCATAATTGTTTATAATTTTTGTACATTTGTAGCATCAATGAGATAGAAAAATAACAACCAATAGATTCAACATTAAAATATATATATATATATATATATATATATATATTTTAATATTTAAATAAATATTATCTTTTATAATATAAATATTTATTCATCATGAAATTTTCAACATTAAAAACTATTAAAATATGATGATACATTTTAAGATAAACACATCTATCTATTTATAATCACCTTTGTAATAAATGAGATTATTTTTTATAAAACAAAAAAAATAAATATCTTTCTCTTGTATATGTAACGTCCTACAATTATTGTTTAATGGATATCATTGAATATAACATTATTCATCCATAATAGAATTGTCACTTCTTCCATCAAGTACTATTATAATTTTAACCTCTAACTAACCTCTCTATTTAAAAATAGTCTAGATAATTCTCTCTTGAAGACATCTAAGATCTCATTTATGCTTAAATCAATACATTTTTTGGAAATGAAAATTGACCTTTTAATTGTTATAATCAAAGGAAAAATAATATTATAACCAATAACAAAAGTTTGAAAAAGCTTTAGTATGCCTTTTGTCTTCTTCCTTGTTTGTCTATTGCATACAATCCTTCTCTTTAGATTCTTGTCAGTCTTTGCCAGCCTTTCTGTATTTAGAACTAATAGATTTAGTTCAATTCCACTAGTAGCTCATGCTAAATAACATTTGTACTAGAAGTGGAGTGAACTGGCAACCACCATCCATGACGATTGTATGAGTAAAATCAACTTGCTAAAGCCAATTACTTGATTATCTTGTGTACAAGACAATGAGCCAGTACAAAAATTCAAAGAATTCTCATTAATTGGGAAGAAAGTTGATGAAGAAATCAAGAATGAGGAAAATACCCTTCGTCATAATAGTCACTAAAGCAAAAGTACGTGTTGATTTGGCATCCACCACTACATACCGGTCTAAACCATTGACTGGTTCATGGATGCAGCAAGTTCTTCCAACATCTCCTTCTGTTCTAAAGCAGCACATGACTGCACGGAAAAATAGCATAGCTCATGAGTATCAATAAGAATATATATATATATATATATATATACACACACACACACACACATCTTTTGGTTTTTTTTACCTTTGAGGGGGGGGGGGGTTGGTAAATGACTCAAAATCTTGTTACAGCATTCCACTTCAACATACAGCAGGCAAAATTGAATGGGAAGCCAACGAACTTGCGGGCGTAATTGAGAGACTGCAAGCATACCTGAACAGGACCTTCTAATTCCCCATTAAGAACAGTAGTTAGGTCAAAGTTTATTTTTGTCCGATGATCAGAAACCCGATTATCCTGTATAGATTTCACAAACAAAGCGAGTGTTTACTTAGTACTCTTGATGACGTAAGTTCCTGGTTAGAATTGCCAAAGTCTGCAAAAGTATCAGTTTCAAGAATAAAAGACACAACATCAAGTCTTCCTCAACAGAGGAGCAATCATGTCCTAATCCAATCTAGCGTCATACCTTGTAATTATAAGTTCGAATCTTCTCAGAGCGAGCTCCTGTCCCCACCTGCATGTGATGTGGTAGCCCACTCATGAATTAAAATAATAGCTACTGAACTTTGTTGCTGTTGCTGTATGAGTCGTTGTTGCTTGACGAGACATTTAGGTAGAGCAATATAGAGGTTGTACGAAAATTGTTACATTTGAGCCGTCATACCTGAGATTGACGGGCGTTCCTGATGGTCTCTTGCTGTTCTCTAAGTTTGATCTCATACAATTTAGCCCGAAGGAGTTGGAATGCTCGGATTTTATTCTTTAATTGAGAGCGTTCCTCGGTACAAAATATCCTAATTCCAGTAGGCTTGTGGAACAGATCTATCGCTGTTTCTACCTTGTTTACATTCTGACCTGCATACATAGTCATCAATCGATGATGTGAGTTTTGCGGCGCATAAAATGGATAAGTTATACATATTATCGAGAACTCCTGAAACTAGGAGAGAATTTTTCCAAGCTTACCTCCAGCACCACCAGATCTAGCGGTCGTGAGTTCTATATCCTTTGGATCGATCACGACCTCGACTTCATCAACCTGCGAGTCTCACATTCGGGAGAAGTGTAAGAATGTACGTAATCCAGTTGAATGCTCATCAAAGGATTGTGGAGATTCTTGCGCAAACCTTTACAGAACACTTACCTCAGGCATGATTGCAACCGTAGCGGTAGAGGTGTGAACTCGGCCTTGACTTTCTGTGGCTGGCACTCGCTGCACCCGGTGCACACCTGATTCATATTTAAGTTTACTATACACGCGTTCCCCTGTGATCTCCAAAACAAACTCCTTGTAGCCACCTTTTTCTGCCTACACATCGCCATTCACGTTGTCACTAACGACTTTAAAGAAAATAAAGTGATCTGAACAGTTTTGAGAAGTCAGTAGACTACTAAAAGCTACTCTTTTCCAACTTTCTTTGTCATTTTTACCGATTGAAGGTTGTAGGCAGCCTAATATTAAGCAGCTTGCTATCCCCTGACATCTGCTGGTTCAAACTCGAACAGAATGTAAGAATCATCACCTCAGTACAAGAAACAGGGGAGCATCTCCAATTGTTCCTTTCTGAAAACTTTTGATACATCCGAACCTGCAAGTATTGACACCACCGCTCAAGAGCGTGAAAAACGAGACGTTCAAATTATTTTTTTCAAAGTCTAAGACATGCAATCATGAAAACCAAAATTTAATTTTGTCTTCATTCATGTGAAGGTGAAGAGAAGTCATGTGTAAACCTACAAGGTCCCCTGCCCAAATTCCTGCCTCGTCGCCTCCAGTACCGGCCCTCACTGCGGCCAAACATACCAGAATGTAAGCTTTTAAAAGAAAAAACAAACTAGCATCCACCAGCACTACTTCGTTGCATTCAAATGTCGGTGATACTTAGCACTTCTGAATTACTTCTATGCACTACAACTTCATACATCATTACTACTTTTACGAGAAGGTTGAAATATATGTATCGAGGGTGAGAGTCTTCAGTAGGGCTGACCTTCAAGCATAATATTTCTGGAGTCTAAAGGATCACTTGGCAACAGCATGACCTGCCTCATATATCACCATCAAATTAAAAATCATAAAACAGCGTAGGTAGACACCGATTTCTTCCACTGCATCACAAATAGTGTTCATGATTAATTTGAGGAAGTCAGATTTCAGAGAAAGATATATACCTTTAATTGTTCCTCGAGCTCTTCTACTTGTTGTGCAAGTATGTTAGCTTCTTCGGCTGCCATCTCTGCCATTTCTCTATCTCCTGCTGCGTCTTTCGCCATCTCTAGGACCCATTCTCACACAACTTTTCCATGAGACTCTGTACCAAAGGAAGGTCACAAAATCAGCCATGATCAGGTTCCAGAATCACCTTTAGCATCATCTAGTTGCGCTTCGCACTCCTTAAATCTCTGGTAGGTCTGATAAATTTCTTCCAATTCCGCCAACGATTTCGCAATCTTTTGGTACTCGTTATTGTTGTTTGCTACATCAGGATCTGCCAATCTCATCTACAACAGGGTCAGGTAGTAAACATTAGATCCAGCTCCAGTGCTTCAAAAAAAACCTAAATTGAGAACGAGGACAAGAGCCCCAAAGTTTCAACGAAGACGTCACGTAAAGTTATGAAATAAGGCTGAAGAGAAAATGCAACCAGATAATGTAGGTTAATTGTACGCTGTTAGTGGTTTGTACTTACCGATAGCTCCTTGTAAGTTCGCTCTGCTGAGTCAAGCTTCGCAATCAAGTAAGGTTCCTGAAAATGAGTCCACTCCAACAGCACCATCAGCACCATCTATGATTAATTTTCTGTAAAAATTAAATCCAAAGACAGCCTGTAATCTCAATTGATTTACTACCACATAGGTTGCGGCAGCATCAACTGCCTTTTGAATCACTTCACCCTCACGACAACACTTTGGTTTTCTAACGGAGATTAAACTTTCATGACCTAGCTACTGTTTCCAGAAATCCTCTCCACCAACATTATGTACTTGCTCAGAACATGATATGCGAGTATGAGTCCCTCTCAAATTGGGTCTATCTCTCTCGAATGCAAATGAATGTACAGTGCGATAACGAAAAAACTTCGAAATCACCACGTAGATAGCCACTCAAAGTAGATAGAGGTGGAGAGAAACACGGTACCGCTCGGCTAGTACGTTGGTCATTATTGGCAGCTGCTCGCAGAGGCTGCAGGCGATAAGAGGAAGATATCGCGGGGGAAACAATGAGGCGAGGCCCTTGAAGAGCCTGAAGAGGACCTCCAGAAACACGGCATGAAGAGAAGACTAAAGAGAGAGGGCGCAAGCAGGCCACTTGCACAAGGCGCAGAGACAAGAGAGTCTCCGCCATGAAGCCTGGCTTACCGTGCTAGACAATGAAAAGCCAAGCAATTCAATTCAACCCAAAACCAATTTTGTTTCTATCAATGCCGTGATAGCGGCAACAGGAACGAGAGGTGTTCTTGTCTGAGAATGCGAGTGCGAAATTCGGAACTAAAGAAACAGATTGGCGCCGGACAGGACTATCCAAGTTGTTCCCGAGCTTTGAAGATGGAGTTCTGTTGATGTGAATGAGGAAAGATGGGTGTCCACGAACTGAGCTGGAATCCTCAGAACCTGGATCGCGTCATCCATCGGAGGGAGGCATTCGTCATCCATTGCTCCGCCTTCTTCCTCTGGGCTCCACTTAACCACGTCGCATTATTTCTCGTCTTGTCGCCACCTTCGCGCTCTCCCTTTCCCTTCCCCGTTTCGGGCACAGATCATATCCTCCTTCCTACAGACTGCTCACCGCTCCCGCAAGATCCTTTAAGTACCAATTGTACGCCTTCTCTGACCATTGTATTCGTTTCTCCAGTTCTAGATGTAGAGGTGACCCACGAATCAACTTCACTTTCAACTGCGAATTATACTGAGATCTCATGCCAATGCCCCTTCGACTTCACTTCCCGAAATGCAATGTTTACTTGGTGTGCAGAAACAAACAGTGAGTGGGTGTGGTTACGACAGCCATGGCGACGAGTCCGTGGAGGGAGCTGTTACAACAGGCCATGCAAAGCCACAAACACTTGAAGCATTCAACTCACCTTCAACTGGTAAATTAATCTTGTTCATCCTTTTTCGAAGACCTAACCCAGGCTGCTCCTGTACTAATTATTCCCTGTCTTGTAGAGCTGACACTCTCTCAGTGTGTGTAGGCAACAGTACGGCCTGATGGAAGACCCGCCAACCGAACCCTTATCTTCAGGTTTGAGTCAATTTTCATTATATCTACTCGTCTTTTTTGTCATCTTTAATCGGAAACTATTTAATTCTGAAAGAAATCCTGATTGAACTCCAGTTAATTGAGTCGTTTGCTGCAGGGGATTTGTGGAAGGTTCAGATAAGCTGCAATTTACAACGGATTCTCGGACTCACAAGGCGAGCATAACTACCTTGAATTTATCCTCTTGCTTAAAGTGAACGAGTGTCTCTGAATTGATAATACTGGTTGATATTGACCAGTGTACATGTCGTGGTACAGATTGAAGATATTAAACACAGTCCATTTGGTGAGGTGTGCATGCCCCGCTCTACTTTGTTCTGAAAATTCAATTCACTCCTGCAAGCTTAGTTCACTACTCCAGTAATTTGACCTAAAATAAAAATTCTTGCTATCATGCACAGATCTGTTACCATTTCACGAATTCGTGGGAGCAGTTTCGCATCCACGGCACCTTGGACCTGATTGGTCACGCCGACTATGAATCTGCTAGAAAATCGGTGTGATACAAGGCCTTCCTACTTACTGGATTCCCAACATGATAGAGAATCAGGCATTCCGAAGAGTAAGGCAATTGTTTTGACTGTTAGGTTGTGACCGATGAACTCTCAACCTGGGGTTTTGTGGTGTTGTAGCTGAGAGAAAAGGCGTGGTTCGACAGCTCGCCTAGAGCACGTGCAGCATTTGCAGCCCCACATCCTGGTCATCCCAAGGGCTCAGAGCCCTCGGAAGGAAACCTTCAAGTTGATCCCAACCAAGGCCCTCTTGATACGTTCTGCGTATTAACATTGGACCCAGAAGAGGTAAGTTTTCTTCTCTGATCAATATATTCTAATTTCTTGTTTAGTATAAATAGTAAATTAACCTTTGTTGGGTCGATTTCATGGCAGATTGACTACTATCACGCCAAGGATGCTGTGCGCATACTCTTCAAAAGTTCTACCACAGAAATCGGACACAAAGTTTGGTCCCAACAGGAACTCAATCCGTGAACGAGGATCACAATGTCGCAGCCGTTAGGATAGACCAAAGGAGTCATTTTTTGTGGACGTCTATCATATCATGCTCCAGAACCGTCTCGAGGATCTATTTTGTTCCTGTTTAGGAGGTTTTCACTGTGTATGTATTACTCCACTTCCATCGACAATTTTTGTTTCTCCTTCCAGTTTGCGCCGAGTGCAAAGTTCGTTCAACTTGCGTTCAAATATTCCAAATTCTAAATCGCCTTCCGCATGCATTTCTTCGCAACTGTACCGGGACCATTCACCTTCCACAAACAGCGTCCACTTCTGCAGGATTCAACTTTGTAACAATGGAAGTGTGCAACTGGGACTAATGTTCATCATACTCATGGCTTAGGTAATCGTACCTATTTATAATCATTTGACAGAAACAGTCAGCTTTTGTGGCAATATCAAAAATATTATTTGCGTGTACGTATACAAATTAGCTACAAAATAGCTCAGCTGCATTGACAAATTTGTGAGCATATTTCAAAACTTCGACAATTTCCCTCAGTGAACTTTACAACACCTAGAGAGCCTGGGGAAATTTTAACGTAACCCCTTGAACACCCACATCACTATGTAACCTTGCTTTTATCCACTCCAAGCTAACGTTGATTGGAGTGGCGTCATGGTGCACCAAATAACCTTACACTACGCCACAATGATTTGTATGACTTGTACATGACCAATAAGCAGAATAACTACTATACAAACAAATCGTACAGAAAAGAATCACGTAAGACCCTGTTTATAACTATAGCACATGTGACCAGCAATTTGAGCTTTAGTACTAACTCCGCCATGATGTTCGCTGTGGCATCCGCACCTGTGACGCAGCCCTTGTCCTCCTTACTGAATCAGATACATCGTCCGACGTTCTTGATAGATGGTGTCCATTCTGAGGGAAAATAATGAGGAACCAAATCAGCTTGGGAAGGTGCTCATAGAAGACCACTCAACCGTGACTTCAATCACCTCAAAAGATGCCTCGAATCATTAGGACCGACACACACGCAGACAAAAATAAATACGTAAATGAAAACTGCTTGCAACTCGAATGCAAAAGAGGGCTACTAAGGTCCATTTCAGCACAAATTTTGGCGTGCAATATACCTGAGCTGGTGGTGGTGTCAAGGTACGCCGGGGAGCTTTATTTTGACTTTGGTACAAATGGTGTTGGTGTTGCATATGCTCAAACTGCTTCAACTGTGCTGCAAAGTTGATACCCAGCGGACCATTGATGTTATCTGAACTCCTCTCACCATCCTCACTTGTGGACGACGTTTGTATAGTAGGAATGTGAGATAAAATTTGCGAATATCCTCCTGCCGAAGCTGTTCTCCTTATGGCAGAAAGCCCAGGAAACTCAGTGTGTGGTAGAGAGGGTTGCATGTGCATAAAAGTTTGAGAAGGCACCGTCTTCAATCTCGTACGCAGTATTTTGAATGCGGCGCTTTGCTATCAATAGAAAAAGAACCATCAAATCAGGATATAACCAGTTAAATCCACACTAAGATGTCATTTTAAATGAATAAAACTGAGAAATCAGAGAGCATGATGATGTACCTGGGGGAGGAGCATGAGAAGACCATACAAGGTCTTCAGCAAACTTGGATACCGACCAGGTTCCAATAACTGCACGTATCATCAGACAATAGTTTCTTTCAAGGAGATGAAACATTTAACTCAAGATGCCACCAGTTGTCCACTAGAAAGTAGAAAGATATTATGGAAATGCAATATCATAGACAACGTTTTCACAAGAATCACCTGTAATCTCAAGTAAGCAAAAGTAGGAGTTTCCAAAAGTCGCACGAGTTTATCAACTTGTACTAGCAAATTCACGTTTATGTCCGACTCCCCAAGTGCCTGAATGACGGCACTGGCATGTTGATACGCCTGCACAATGGAAGATCCAAGATCAAGTCCAAAGATAGCATCATAGGAAGCTCCATTTTTAAAAAAAGATGTATTATAACCAGTACCCTACTCGACCACCTGCGGCAAAATCCAATTCATGTCGACATATCATTGACAAAAATCTCTGTTGATTCTGAAGGCGAAGTTTTTTCACCTGTCCTAGTAAGCAAAGGCTAACAGTGGCGATTGCTGAGTGGCACCACGAAGCAGACAAGGATACAAAAAGATCTCTACCCGCTGGATTCAACAAAGACTGCTTCAAAAGAGACCTCATTTCCGCCAGCTCAGGTGCTGTGAGTAGTATTAAATTCAGCGCCTGCACTTGCAAAAACCAAAGCTAACTGAAGGTTTTAAATACCTCGAGTACGTATAAACAAAACCATCTCACAAGATAACTGATTAGGCTCATTTGATATAAACGACCATTTCCGAAAAATACCCGGCAGAACAAATAAACGTTCTCCAATATATTCACTGCTTCGTCAAAGTTTGAACTTTAAAGAACAAAAGTGATATGTGGTAGTAAAACTAACCTGAACCATAGTAGTGGCAAACTCCAGATCAGCCTCCCCTTCAAATATGTTAGCTAATTCTCTATATACTCTCTCCGCATCCAACAGAGTACACAAGCGCCTAAGTGCTAGAGTTCCTCTCCTGCATATGCACCACCCACAAAGCAAAAGAACATTTGTTAACGGAAATACAGGTTTCCACAAACCTAATAAGTGTGTCGCAAATTCGAAATGGATGGATTCCAGCTATTCCTGCACGATCATCATTATTTAAATAGCATGCTCAGTGAGTTTCGGAACTTCATGTTACGGCTTCTACGTGTTTAATAATTTCACTTTTTAACAGGATTGATTTGTTTTTTGTTGGTCATCAGGATAATCAAGAATATGCGTTGTACGATTCGCATACCTTTATAAACTTTAGACAAAAGAAAAGAAAATCTTTTGAGACTTTTAAACATACAAAACCATAAGGCATTCAGAACTTACACAGTCAAAAAATCCTGTACTTATGATTACAAGCTAATATGTCAAGGGTGAACTTCAAAAAGGATACTAAAAGAAACCATGTGATAATGATAGTGACCATGATCGTATGCAACATATGACCGATGTTAAATACATAAGGACTCCTTATTTATGAGATGAGTAAATAGAAGTATTTACTTTTCAAGAAGCGTCTGCTCTATCTTGAACTTGTGAACAAGGAAGACCATGAGCCGGTGGAAATGTTGGGCGTCTCCGGCAATGCAGGCTTGAACCTCCAAGACGAGACAGACTACCTGGAAATATCATTCACAGCCTGTTACCAACGAAGATAGAAAGATCCGTAATTCCATCACCTTATGAAACTATTGTACGCGCCAATTTTAAAACATGCAATTACAAACCCTAAACCTGGTAAACCAATTATGCATTGTAGAAGGAATGATCAATTCAGATAAGAAAAACTCTTGAGCCAAACTCAATCAAACGGGGGGTGAGACAAGATCAAATCAAGACAACACAACACAACGCAACACAAAATGAACTTTGAGGAAATTATTCATGCAGAACAAGCCTACACAAAAACTCATCTTGTAAATTTTTGCAGTAAGAAAAGAGAGATGGTGAGGTTGGTTGGACCTACTTCATCTGAAGTATCTGCTAAGGAAGAGAGTAGAGCAGGGAATATGTCGTCCAAAAAGGAAAGCACCTGTACCCCAGCCCCAGAAAATATTAACATTTTTCGCTGGTACTGGTAATCCATTAGATCTAAGTTCATGAGTATATAATGAGGCAAACAAATTTATATGCTTACAGGAAATTATGCTTTTTGATAAAACCAGATGTAGACAATGATGCTTAAGGAAAGATAGTAACCTCAGTTCGATGTCGCTCCAGAAGAAGTGCTATCCAACGCAATGCTTCCAGCCGCGTAGCTTCCCAGTCACTTCCAAGCTCCCTGCAAATCAAAATTACCAGCAGCGACATTTCTTAAGTCCTCAAACTAAGGAAATGATCTGCTCTTTAAGCGCATTATAATCAATTGTATTTGTTATCTAAAATACAGCAACAAATACTTGGAGTAGCTTGACAATCATGTTGCGAATACATGATGATAAGAGAATCAAACTGGAAGTAGAACCCAGGGCAATGGAGCTCTTAAACAAAAACAGTGCTAAGCCCCCGAACCCTGAAGCAAGAGTAATAGGAACCATGCACTGACATTTGTGCATCAGAACACGGGTCAAACTTTTGCGCGTACACACCCACTTGGCACACGGGGCCGAGGATAGCACGGGGAAGAACTGATCGTAATATGCTCTCAATGGTTACCTTCATGTAACGGTGCCAAGAGCTTAATAGCAAGTCATAGTGCACTTCAATGGCACATCGATCATTATATACAGAGTCTTTTCACGGAACACTTGATTTTTTTAAGTAAAGAAAGCGAACCAAACATAAGTTGCGTATACCCAACGATTAAAACCATCCTAAAATGTAGTAGTTGACAAGCAAAAATGGGTTGTGCCACATAAGGAACTTAAGTTGAATAGCATATCATCCAGAACCTAAAGATCACCTTCTTGCAATAACAAGAACTGCGCCAATATCAAATCCTTCAGCTGGTTCTGCTTTTACAGTTCGGAGTTCCTCATTAGTCTCCTTAGCAACCTGACACAACATAAAATATAGCTTGAATATTACCAAGATACCGATGGCATGTCCAGATACCCCACGACTGAAGCACAGTCAAATTGTATTAGAACTAAAAAATTGCATCGGGCTCTAAGATTTCATGGTACTAACTAAGAAAATGTACATTTCTACTCACGCTTCAAAGGAAAAGCAAAGTCCAACGAGAACTTATCGGACAAGAGTAAGTATAGAAAACAGACCACTCGAATTTTTTCCTCCTGGTCTGAAATGGCAGGTAAGATGGCTCCCAAAATGTCAGCATAGTAAGGTACCAATTGCTCACCAGAGAGTTTCACAAATTCATTCAGCTGCAATACATGCAAGACATTGTGAGGGACGAACAAACTGAAAATGGACCATAATTGGTTGCAAAGAAGTATTCACACAGATATAGAATCTAAGAAGCAACTTAAAATGCATAAGCAAGAGCGAGAAAATACCCAAGTGAATGACGTTAGTCGTGTGAATTCGTCTGCGGACGCTGCTCTTTGCACAAGAATCTCTGCCATCTTTCCATAATCTACAGACTATTGCAGACAAATAGCAAGTGCAAACAGTAAGAAACATTCCTAAATTACACCAAGTATTAAGTCTGAGTTCCAAACAGATTCTGCCTGAAAGAAAGCCCAAACGTAGTAAAGAGAAACCTGAAAATGATTCAACGAAACCATTGACAAACGAAATCGAAATTAAGTCAACGAGGACTCCAAATGCCGAAGGTTTTCGTACCGGAGCATTCTTGATCTCTTGAAGGAACTCAGCCAGTGCAGAGTCTGCTTGCTGGCGTATTTCATGACTGCTGTCACTGAGCATATTAAACAGCCCTACAGTGCAAAGAGAAGGAAAAATTTGTTTCATGATAAAATAATGCTACGTGAATAAACACATGGCAAAGTTACTAATAAATCAACAAAAAAGAATCATTTTTAAGTGATGTCTCAAGTCGCACAGTGATCAATTCTAGTCTATTTAAGAGCCTACTACAAGCTACAAAAAACAGGATTACATTTCAAAAGCTGACACTTAGACCTACTGGAAAGAGTTTCTAAGAAAAGAAAAACAGACTAATCGTTTCATACGCACCATCAAGAAAATCTGGTAGGAACCCAAGCATATCTATATCAGGAACACTGTCCAAAACGGTAATCCATCCCACCAAGAATTGGCGCACAAAAGGATTCAACACGTTCATGCGCTCCCTAAGAAGTGGAATGAACTCTTCAATGCTGTAAACAAAAAAGTCGGACACTGCTTAGGCTCAACGTTCCAACAAACTCAATGAGACTTAAAGTGATTGGCACCTCCAGTTACAGGCAACTGTTTCAAGATAAACTTATAGAGACACCATGGAACTGTTTTGAATCGTGCACATTGCCATAGTCTCAACAGTACAAAGAAAGTGAATAATAGCTGACCTGAATTGATCACTCTCAGTTACAATGTCCTGATCCAGTACCACATAAACAGTTTAGCTAAGCATCCTTATGTACTTTTAGAAAAATGGTCTTTCTACATAAACAACCATTCTAGCATAGAGTAGTTACTCCATTAGCTGTCATTGTCACCACTCAATAACATCTCCACATGGACATCAAATGCATGATTATCAACCATTGTCAAAGAACAGAGACCTAACCTTAACAAGGCGGTCTAGCAGGTGAGCTGCCTGCTGTACACTAGGCTCAGAATCAGCTGAAAGCTTGCAGAGTGCGTCAAAGATGTCATTGAAGAACAACACAAGGTCCCCTCGTGTCACCTGCGAGCATGTCCATAACCTTGTAAATTGCAGTAGAAGGGCTTTACAAGACATGTACACCATTTTAGATTAAACAATAAGCAAATAAAATGTTTTTGAAAAGAAAACTGTATTCTAAAATCGATGATAAATTGATGCTTAAAACTGCATGGTACAGGTTTTCAAATTACAGAGTTGTCCATGCCTTCGTCAAACACCCAGAATCACACTGATGATTTGATGTCAATATTTCTAATTTGTGTTAATAAATATCATGTTCTAGATATACTTTCAAAGAACTTGATAAAGGTCGAAGCACCATTCAAAAAGCATCAACGTTAAAAGACATGAATGGAGTACTACCTTGGCTATATTGTACAAAGCTTCACAAGCGTAGTACCGGACGCGACTGTCCTGGTCTGTGAAGGAGTTCAAGACTGGGGGAATAATTTTCTGCAATACATAGAACCGCATCCAGTGAGAAGCACCAAAACGACATCCTCAAAGTACTCTCACTAAATGATTTTCCTTCAAAAAATATCAGTTGGAACCCAAAAGTTAACACAGGCCATGCTACCAGATTATTGTACAACACAACAGCGAGGGGAAATGCAATATTCACCTCCAGATGTTGAACAGCCTCAGACCCCAAGCCCATCGTTGCAGCCGCGAGCCCAATCAAGCCTCCCTGCTAGAAAAATGAAAACAATTATTCTCTACCACCCTTCAACGGGTAATCACACGATAGATACAGGAGAAAAGTCTGAAGTAACAAAGAGGAAAGCCAATGATAATGATTGAACTGTAGAAACAAGTGGCGAGCTTTCTACCTTACGGTGATTGGACTGTGGAGAGAGTGCAAAGTCATTTACAAGAAGAGATAGAAGGCTGGATATTCTATCATGATCTTGCTGAGCTACAAGGCCTCTGATTACTGCCTCGACCTGCACCATTCAAAAAATACTACTTGATAATGGAACCATGAATCAACACACATGAACGCAGATGACAAGTGAGAAACGTCTTGAATCGTGAACAGTTAATAACTTAACAAAAGTATGATTATTATTGGTTCGACTTGAATTCAGATTGACTTCAAGGTTTCAAGAAAATGTTCATTGCCAGCACATAAAATTGGCGTCCAGTATCCAACTTATTTGCAATGCGGAAGCCTTGAACATAATGTAATATTATCGTGCATAAACACGGAATAACCAAATATGGAAGAGTTCCAATTGTGAATCATAAATATTTGAAAAACTAAATCTTTCTTTTAATCATCCCGCAATAAAAATATTCGAAGACGAGCTAGATTTTGTTGATACCACTGAAATACAACTATAATACAGTTCATAGTACGATTCTAGATGGTCAATAACGACAGCATGTTCTAATCCATGACTTGTGATTCCTACAAGGAATCAATAAGGCGCGTGATACTTCGATAAACCGATGTTACGCAGAGATACAATTTACACTGGATAAATGATTTATTGTGGCGTTGATTTAGGATTAAGGCAGTCGAAGCCAAATCTCCACATCTCCATCTAAAAAATTAGATCAGATGAAACGATATGTAAATGGTATCTGCCAAGTATACCCTAAACCCTCGAAGTGACTACATGGAAGACTCGACTAAATCCTTGAGACAGAGAAGAAAGCAAAGAAACTAAGCACTTCCTCAGGAGCAAACAATCATTCTCTCGCAGAAAAGCATATCGCAAGTACAGATCACAAAAATCAACACGCAGTAATAGATGCAGCTGGTCATCTCAATCCTGAGGGCAAAATAAAAATTAAACTAAGAAAGAGGATAGCCGATATCACGTACCTCACGTGCAGCATTCTTCCGCTTCTCGTACAGTTTATCCGCCAATGTCCGCTGTGTCGAGGCGGAGAGAAGCGGAATACCATCCGCCATCTTGGCCATTACGTGCTTACGGTATCACCGATTCTTCCTTTTCACATCTTAGCTCTAACAATCATACTTATGGAATGAACCCTATCAACACTCATGTCACCATTTCTGCAAGTATCCCTCATTCTCCTACTGTTTCTCCCTTGCAATCCCAAAGCTCCGTCCACCTCAAATTTAGGATAACTTGTACTTGTGCCTTACTTCACAGATCTTCAGATTCGCGCAAATCTCCTTCGCGTCGCCATATCATAAAAAATTTACATCTTGCATACTGATACCATCAACTCGTCAATTTGTTTTGATTATGAATGCATATAAATCTGTCATATGAATTAGTGGGCAGACAAAGCGGAACTCGTAGAAAAACAGAAACGTTGATTGGTGGCCAATCTACGTGACGGTAACGAAAAGGCTAAGTAAGCCACGACTTCCGGGTGGCTGATCTAATCGGCTGAAACTGTTAGAGTATGGGTAAAGTAGGCGACTGTTTCTAAAGATGAGGAGATTAGGGGAACAGCAGAAAAAATACTCTTCACGACACGAAGAACGAGCAAAGAGGAAGATACGAAAGATGCGTAACAAGGGCGGGGGGTCGAGCAGGAAAGCACTAGCTTAACAAGAGAAAGATCGAGAAATCACGTCTGTCGCAGGGGAAAATGAGACACAAGACGATAATCCGGGGCGAGGACGTCGGCAACGGCGCGAAGAAGCTCAGGCCAGCACAGTGGGATGTGGGAAGGCGGAGAACATCATCGATGAAAGTAGACACAAGATGCACTTAATCCTCCTGCCCAGACTTGCAAATTCGGCTCCCAGTATTTGCAAACAGGAATTCCCAACCCTAACAAACAAACACAGGACACACACACACATACACAAAGAGGCATCTAGGTAGGCAAAGAGTGGTTCCTCGCTTCCTCCCACCCCTCGGAAGAGGACCCCCCGCCGGGCAAGGGGAAATGCCACGGGAGTGCCGGGCCGGGCCCGGGCAGGGGGGGACGGGGGGCTGAGTGTGTGAGTGTGTGTTCAGTGGCTAGCTGGCAGGCTGGCAGGCTGGCAGGCTCGCGTGGGGAAAAGAGGGAATGGGGAGGTGTGTGCAATGGGTCCCTCTCCTCCCCCCCTCCCCCCTCGCAGCCCCCGATTCCCATTGCACCTCTCTCTCCCTCTCTTTCCTACTTCCTCTCTCCTACGCAGCCATTTGTGTGAGAGTGAGTGAGTAAGTGAGTGAGTGTGTGTGTGTGTCACATGTGCCCCTCTCTCTCTCTCACACTCCCCCCCTCTCTTCTTAGGAAGTCCTTCCTTTCCTTTTCTTTCCTTTCCTTTTCCTTGCCATCATCGCCTGGCCTTGCATGCCCTGCCCAGACCCTGCATGCATTTCTTGCACTGCACTTCCCCCCTTTCGATCTTCCTTCGTTCTTTATCTCTCTACCTCTTTCTTTCTCTCCTTCTTTCTCCTTCCTTCGTTATTTATCTCTCTCCCTCTTTCTTTCTCTCCTTCTTTCTCCTTCCTTCTTTCTTTATCTCTCTCCCTCTTTCTTTCTCTCTTTCTTTCTCCTTCCTTCTTTCTTTATCTCTCTCCCTCTTTCTTTCATTCTTTCTCTCCTTCTTTCTTTCATTCTTTCTCTCCTTCTTTCTTTCATTCTTTCTCTCCTTCTTTCTTTCATTCTTTCTCTCCTTCTTTCTTTCATTCTTTCTCTCCTTCTTTCTTTATCTCTTCTCTCTCGTTCTTTCTCTCTCTCCTTCTCTCTCTGTCTCCGTGTTAAGGGTGGTCTCACTCAACTCTATCTTTTCTTTTCATCCAATCTGCTCCCCCCCCGTTCCGTCCCTCCCTCTGTTCTCGATTTCCTCACATTCATTCTTTCTGTTGGGCACTTTCCAAAAACTCTTCCACCCTTCCTTTTCTACTGTCTTTTCCATGATAAATCAGCCTGAATATACAATTTTCTATCAATGAAGGATAGACAATAACATAACTCTCACACTGCTTAAAAATATACATATACTCTTTTATGCAAAGTACTGAAAAGTATGTAAAATTTTAATAATAATAATAATAAATTACGTTCTTACTTACTTGAGAGATAAACCAAATACATAGATATATATATATATATATATATATATACAATCACTTGGATAATCATTGAATATACCAAAATAGGTTTGATTAAAATGGTAAATAAATCTACAAATGTTCATAGAAAATAATGTGATTGTAGATAGAATAAAAAAGTTGATCAAAGTCAAATTTCTCTCTAAAATAATAATAATTAAAAAAACTCAAATATTCAAAAAATGAAAGCCTACAAACCACAGATAGAGTCTTTTATAAGATAGTCGAAATCCTAAATCACTGAGACAATTAATTAGTACTTAAAGTTTCACAAGAAAATACAATGTATATATTTTATTATCATTATAATTTATACATTGTCTTTAAATTTTTTAATCCTTATATTCTTTTCTTTTGTTGAGAGAACCAAAATATTTGGGATTATTATTATTTTAAAAAAAAAAGTGTTAATTTTTTTTGGAAATAGTACCATGATTTAAACCTTATTATATTAAATACAACAAGATTTTCAAAAGAAATTGGTATGAATTATTTAATTTATTTTAATTATGTATAGAATTATATATTTTTTCATTAGAATAAATTTTAATTTTTTTGGTTTAAATTAGAATATAATATGATTTGGATATATTGATTATTGCTTGTGCAATAAGAATTTAGGATAAAAAAGTTCTTACTTCTTTTGGAGGTCAAAATTTCATAGAATATATTAATTATTATCATAAATATCATTTTTAGCTTTTAAAATATTTAATTAATAGACCTTATTTTATTAAAACTTTATGAATCAATTCTAAGATGTATTATATTGAATATCTATCTTTAAATATTATTTATTAATATGGTTTTAAAAACATATGTATATTTAAATTATAATATTTCTCTTTTAGTTTAAAACATTTATCATTATCTTAATTAGCAAACTAAAAATGATATATACATAAATTATTAAAGGTATCTAAAAGTAAAAAAACATATTCTAAATTTATGTACATAAAATAATTTAAAAATATATCTTAAAGTTATATATATAAACTATCAAAGCTATCCTCTAAGTAAAAAATTTAACATCAAAAAATAATGTATTTGGTTAATTTTTTATTTTTAAATACCAAAAAAAATTTTACATAGAGCTTCATATCTTAATGACATTATAAAATATAAAATATAACTATGAATAAGTATTTAATTAAAATAATAATCTACTTCAATCCGATTTTAAATTTTTTTTTAATATATTCTTGTAATAACCATATTTTTAAATATATATATATATATATCTTAAAATTTTATTTAATTTTTATTTATAAATTATATTTTTAATTTTAAATATATACATATATTCTTTTAGATACTTATATTACTTTAAAATAGAAATAAGTAGAAGTTGTTGAAGTGAAAGTGAAAATAAAATAAGTTACCTTGTAGAAGATATTACCTTAGATAAGTTGTTAATGGTCAAAGAGTCAATTCTAGGTGTATAGAAAGAAAATCCTATGTATATAGGTCGAGGTCAAGGACCAAGAATCAAAGTCAAGAGAGTAAAGTAATAACTAGGAAATATGTCAAGGATAAGAACATTCTAAAAACAAATAAACAAGTGAGACTTCTCTCAAAGAAAGATGACAAAATAGAAGTAATTTTAGTATATATATATATATATATATATATATATATAATAATAAGAAAGAAACTGGAATAGCTATTGTCAAAAGTCAAGAAAATTAGAGATCCTTGAAACTAGACTAAAAGTAAGAAAAGAGTTGACAAGAGTGAGGAAGGCTTTACTCTTGTCTCTATCTAACTAAGGACTACATGGCGATGTTTTATAGGATCTCCAATATGTGTTGACTTTGTAGGACACATGTCTTGACTTACAGGGCAAGTTTTTCTATGTATGGGCCACATAGTAAGCTTGGTTTTCAAGCTAATAACATAAGTGGCACATGGCCAACTTGTTGACCACGTTTTTAATCCAAAAAGTCAATTAAAGACACTTATAAAGTCAAAGCAATGTCTATGAAGCTTCTAGGAAGATTCCATAACAAATACTATAGAATTAACTTATTTTTACCTATTTTTACTTACTTCTACCTATTTATACATGTAATTACTGGTTTACATACATATGTCCGTGACATTACCCCCCTTTCTAAGGACGAGTTCCACAAAGAGCGATCATCATGTGTTGAGGAAATCTATGATGCGATGAATTGTATTCACCACATACTCTGATCTTTGTTCACTTCAAAGATGATTGATAGAGCCTCTCAACCATCGGTAATATCCCATACTAAGACGAGAAGACCACCCAGCTATTTGATCGTTGTTCAGGCCTTCATAACTTCCTTTGAATAAAACATTTAGAACATCATCAGGAATTATTCCTACCTCTAATAAAATCACCAAACATCGAGAGTCCCTTCCAAGGTCGTGATACCAAATGCATTGTATCTTGCCATCTATTCGAGGAAGAACATGTCGTTCTTGAAGATCTTCATCTTGATTGTATCATCTTGAAGGTTGTGACAATCATAATGTCTCATCTAGCACGTCAGCAATCAAAGGCTCTTGAATCAAATCTACTAGTTGTTGGTTCTCCATCTCCTCAGCGTCACAACTACAAAGAAGCTACAAACAAGGATTGAAAGTAGAATGTTATCTTACTTAGATCTTAATTCTTTCATAAGGAATGTTTTCATCTTGATTTTGACAGATGTCATTGATGAAAAGCCTCCACCGCCTTTGCTACATTTACAAGATTCTTTACTGGCTCCCATGTACATTCACTAATATCATATCCGTACCAGTGGACAAGATATTCTAATTTATTTTGGCGTTGCCTTGAATCTAAGACTTCTTTCACTTCAAACTCTTCATTATTGTCCACTTCTATAGGAAGAAGTGGAGCTTGTCTTCTTCTTGATATGTCCATTGTCTTATATAGTGAAAGAAGAGACACATGGAATACTTTACATTCTAGAACATATAGGCGTCCCTCAAAATATAGTAGATTGTTCTTGAATTCAAACTTGGAAGTATCATGAGACTTTGAAGGATTTTCCTTAATATCACGAATAAGAGGATCACAAGACATACTTGATTGAACTTACTTAATGAAAGTTGAATCAATAATTAGTGTTGATTTCATTGCTCGAAGATGAAGATGCTCTAGCTTCAAGAGAATTGTCCGTTGTTGATCAAAAGTAGCATCTCTTTCTTTTGGTACTAGGTACGATTGTCTATACAATGCACCTGACAAATCTTGACAAAGACATACTCCAATGGGCTTGGCGACGATTCAAAAGACGTGTTGACATAAAATATTTAAAGTTCTTCTGATCTGTATACACTGTGACTGGGCTAGAAACACCTTCTAGATAATAGCGCCATTCTTAAAACGAATCCACGATTGCAAGAAGTTCTTTGTCATGGATCTCATAGTTGATTTCAATCGGTGAAAAATTTCTGGAATGAAAAGCTATTAGATGAAGTTTATCATTTGATCCCATTTGTGACAATATGGCATCCAAAGCAAAGTTTGATGTGTCTGTTTCTATAAAAAATGGCTTAGAAAAATCCACGCAATACAAGATTGGTGTAGAAACAAAGGCTATCTTCAAAGCTTCAAATGCTACTTTAGCTTCTTGATTCCATTGAAGTTTGTCTTTATAAGTCAAATGTATAAGTAGAGCTGCAACTTGAGAGAAGTCTTTGATGAAGATCTAATAGTAGCTGACAAATTCCAAAAAGCATTGGACATCTCTTACCGTTTTTGGGATCTTTCAATCCATAATAGTTTGAACTTTCTTAGGATCCATCATAAGTCCATCATTTGAAAT